GAGGTGTCCCCAGGGGCTCGGGGTGAGGCGGGGCAGCGCCTGCAAGCTCAGGTCGCGCGCCACGTGGGCCCTGGCCCCGCCTTGGGGAGATTTGAGAGCCCGCAGGCCGGCTAGGCCAGTGTGTCTCAGCCCTGTTTGTACAACTACCCCTTTCCCCAAGACCATACAGATCTAGGGTACCCCACTACCTACAGGTTTCAGACACACCTTTTTTTTTCTACCCTTGCAACACATTTGTTTAAACAACTTAATGGTGGGAGGGGAATTTTTTGGTGTAAAAAGTACAAAAATAATAAAGTGCAGTACAACTTAAAACAAAGATTCAGTTTTCTCCACATTTCAGTTGTGTTGACGCCCCCTCCCCCCCCAGTACCCCTAAGGGTACTCGTACCACTGGTTGAGAAACACTGGGGCTATGTCTACACTGGCATGATCTTGTGCCAGAGATATGCAAATGAGGCTAAGCGTGGAATATCACCGAGCCTCATTTACATACCGAATGAGCCGCCATTTTGCGGAAGAGGCTCTTGTGCTAGAAGGAGCAGTCTACACAGCCCCTTCTTGCGCAAGAAAAACCCTCTTGAGCAATGCTGCGACGCTGATTATTTTCAGGAATAACAGCATTGCGCAAGAGGCTTTTTCTTGCTCAAAAAGGGGCAGTGTAGACCGCTCCGTCTAGCACAAGAGCCTCTTCCACAAAAATGGCAGCTCATTAGGTATGCAAATAAGGCTCGGTGATGGGGGACTTCAACTATCCAGACATATGTTGGGAAACTAACACAGCGAGGCACAGGCTATCCAATAAGTTTCTGGACTGCATTGGAGACAACTTTCTGTTTCAGAAGGTTGAAAAAGCTACCAGAGGAGAAGCTGTTCTGGATTTGGTTTTAACAAATAGGGAGGAACTAGTTGAGAACTTGAAAGTGGAAGACAGTATAGGGGACAGTGACCACGAAATAATAGAGTTCATGATCTTAAGGAAAGGTAGAAGGGAGACCACCACAAT